TTTATTCCAAATCTGGATGGGTAGTTTTTGAGGAAATCGATAATTTCCGAAAAAATAGGCAAAAAAATCAAAAAAGTGACTTTTCCTAAGTCTATAGCTCTTCCCCTAAGCAAATTAGGGACCAACCGCTTGTGCATGGGATGTTCCTACAACCTGGTCTATCGATTAAAACCTTAATCCCAAATCTGGACGGGTAGTTTTTGAGGAAATCGGAAAGATTTGAAAAAAGGCCAAAAAAGTTACTTTTCCTAAGTCTATAGCTCTTCCCCTAGGCAAGTTAGGAACCAGCCGCTTGTGCGGGGGAGTTTCCTAGAACCTGGTCTATCGATTAAACCCTTAATTCCAAATCTGGATGGGTAGTTTTTGAGGAAATCGATAATTTCCGAAAAAATAGGCAAAAAAATCAAAAAAGTGACTTTTCATAAGTCTATAGCTCTTCCCCTAAGCAAATTAGGGACCAGCCGCTTGTGCATGGGAGTTTCCTACAACCTGGTCTATCGATTAAACCCTTAATCCCAAATCTTGACGGGTAGTTTTTGAGGAAATCGAAAATTTCCGAAAAAATGGGCAAAAAGTGAAAAAAGTACCGAGTTGTGAAGCTTTTCTAAGACCGTAGGGGGTAGGGTAGGGCAAAAATTGCCCTAAATTTCATGCAGGCAGGTAAGTGAAACGCTACTGAATCCATTGGTACTACTTTTATGAGAATCTGACGGGTAGTTTTTTGGGAAAGCGAATTTTTCGAAAAAGCGTCTCAAAAAAAAAAAATAAAAAAAAAAAAAAAAAAAAAAAAAACCAGATCTCACCTGGAAAAAAAAAAACGTTTTCATAATACCTGTTTAAAAAATCAAACAGGAATTTTGGATTTTGTTTTATTTCGGGGGGTTGTGCGTGCCTTAAAAGTAGGTAATAAAAGTAAATAGGAAAAGTTATTATAAAAGTTATAAAAGTAAATTAAAAAAGTATAAAACTAAATTATTCGCAAAGATTCTTTAAGATTTAACTAAAAAATTTTGGATTTTGTTTTAATTCGGGGGGTTGTGAGTGCCTTAAAAGTAAGTAATAAAATCAAATAAGAAAAGTTATTATAAAAGTTATAAAAGTAAATCATAAAAGTTATAAGAGTAAAGATCGCAGTGAAAATAAGAAAACAAAAACAGTTCACAAAGATTCTTTAAGATTTAACTAAAAATATTTGGAATTTTTTTTAAATTTGGGGGGTTGTGAGTGCCTTAAAAATAAGTAATAAAAGTAAATAAAAAAAGTTATTATAAAAGTTATAAAAGTAAATCATAAAAGTTATAAAAGTAAAGATCGCAGTGAAAATAAGAAAAAAAAACAGTTCACAAAGATTCTTTGAGATTTAACTAAAAATATTTGGATTTTGTTTAAATTCGGGGGGTTGTGAGTGCCTTAAAAATAAGTAATAAAAGTAAATAAGAAAAGTTATTATAAAATTACAAAAATAAATTATAAAAGTATAAAAGTAAATTATTCGCAAAGATTCTTTAAGATTTAACTAAAAAATTTTGGATTTGTTTTAATTCGTGGGGTTGTGCGTGCCTTAAAAGTAGGTAATAAAAGTAAATAGGAAAAGTTATTATAAAAGTTATAAAAGTAAATTATAAACGTATAAAAGTAAATTATTCGCAAAGATTCTTTAAGATTTAACTAAAAAATTTTGGATTTTGTTTTAATTCGGGGGTTGTGAGTGCCTTAAAAGTAAGTAATAGAAGTAAATAAGAAAAGTTATTATAAAAGTTATAAAAGTAAATCATAAAAGTTATAAAAGTAAAGATCGCAGTGAAAATAAGAAAGAAAAACAGTTCACAAAGTTTCTTTAAGATTTAACTAAAAATATTTGGATTTTGTTTAAATTCGGGGGGTTGTGAGTGCCTTCAAAATAAGTAATAAAAGTAAATAAAAATAATTATAATAAAAGTTATAAAAGTAAATCATAAAAGTTATAAAAGTAAAGATCGCAGTGAAAATAAGAAAAAAAAACAGTTCACAAAGATTCTTTAAGATTTAACTAAAAATATTTGGATTTTGTTTAAATTCGGGGGGTTGTGAGTGCCTTAAAAATAAGTAATAAAAGTAAATAAGAAAAGTTATTATAAAATTACAAAAATAAATTATAAAAGTATAAAAGTAAATTATTCGCAAAGATTCTTTAAGATTTAACTAAAAAATTTTGGATTTTGTTTTAATTCGGGGGGTTGTGAGTGCCTTAAAAGTAGGTAATAAAAGTAAATAGGAAAAGTTATTATAAAAATTATAAAATAAATTATAAAAGTTATAAAAGTAAGTAAAAAAAGTAAAAAAAAGCATTGCGATGAATTTACTAAAAAGTATCAATACAAAATTCAACTTTTGACAAAGAATATTTTAAAATTTTTGTTGATTTTTAATTCGGAAGCAATTTGGATCAAAAAATGAGGCGTAATCAAATCAATTGAATCTAAGTTTTAAGCAATAACTATAGCATTTAATTGTTCCGACTTTCGATACGAAAGTAACAAATATTTGTGCTCGGGGTTGTTTTTTTCTTCAGACAAATTTCGACTTTTCAACTAGCCGTTTTTGACGGAATTTTTTGTATCAATCAAAAAGTATGGATGTCTTCAGCTCAAATTTGACAAGATTTTTTACCTGTGATCATTTTTCGTAAAGTAACGGGGGTTAAAAGATTGCCATTTTGTCCAATTTGGGACAATTAACGCGCGATATATTTCGCGCTATTAACGCGTAAGTGGAGAGTTAATTCATCTTAGAAATTGTTTCAATATGGTTGAAAGAAACTTAGTTGCCATAAATGATTTGTTACAAGGAGCGAAAATTATCCTTTGCGCGTGGGGGGATGTTTTTTATAAAAGTTTCAAATTAGAAAAAAAAATTTCATTAAATTTTGTAATGATATTACTGCAGGATAAACTTTAAATGGCAGTCGGAACATTCAGGGCTCCGCCTTGATACGAGCATTTTTGTTCAAATTTTATTATCCTTTGACTAAATTTGAAAGACCTGACCAATAGTTTATCGATACAAATATTCGCCATTTCTTCTTAAAGACAAAATTTGCAAACTTTTGCAGATTTTAAAGGCAGTACGTGCCATCGAATCATTATGCACAAAATTGGAACTACTTGAAGTCCACATAAAAAGCTGAGGTTTTTTTTGTTAAATGCTCTTGTTTCTATCAATGATTGTTTTTGACCTCACAATAGTAGATACCACTAAATTAAAATAAAACATACAAATCGATCTCTGTTTTGGACAAAAAAAACAGTAATTCAATAAAATCAAATTTGAGATGAAGATTAAGACCATTCATCCACGGGGGAAAGGACCAACCGCTGACCAAACTCGAACCTCTGTCGTGCCCCTGTTTAAGAACGACATGCATTTTTTTTGATTTATTTTTCTGGGCTGGGTAATGTTGCTTCGCCCTCAAGCGACAGGCATGGATCAAAATGGGCCTCGAACATCCGACCTTTCGATTGAGGGGCGGAGACGTAACCAATTCACCCCCGCTCCCCTCAAATTTGAAAAAAAAAGATATGATTTTTGTCAAACTAATGCAAACTGAGCTTCAATTCTTGTTAGTTATAACTCTATTATCCTAACTAAATTTGTAAAACTACATTAGAAAAGTTTTTCAAAAATCAAGCTATTTTTCTTAAGTTATCTGTAAAGATCTTGAAGAATATTTGAAAAAACTAGAAGAATGTTGAAGAGCCTTCCCAAATTTCACGAAGTTTTAAATTCGTTTAAAGAGCTTTGGAGCCATCAAACGAACTCAAGATAATTTAGTCATGATTTTTCAACAAATCAAAGCTTTATAAAACACATAAAATATTAAAATTTTTTGCTATCTTTGGTGCATCTTGGAGATTTTTCAGGATATTGGTAAGATTTTCAAGATGATTAGACCTGGTCAGACAAAAAATAGAACATTTTGTAGATACTTTTGCATGGTTTTACGGATAGTTTGGGATTGCTTGAGTGTTTTCTGGGAGTTTTCAAAAATCTTACCACTATTGTACCGATTCAGAATGAACTGTTTAACAAGTTTGTGATACAGGGAAAACCAAAAATTAATTGTCATTTCTTTGATGTTGACAAACAAAATGTAAAATTGATTGTTTTTCTTTTTCTTTTTCTTTGGCCAGGATATGGTTGCTGGGTCCCGGACATCAATCCGACGGGATTTCAAGCCGAATCGTAAAATTAGGGACTTCAAGCCAAAAATTTTTCCATCAAGCCATGAAATATGATGCATTTTAAAACGGTTTTGAAGAAATACTCAATTTCATGACCTTTCTTTGGTAATTATTGGCGTTTTCGTGAAATTAAGCCTCCAAATGATGTTTAGGAAAGTTGAAAAATAAAAAACGGTTGAAGGCAATTTTTTTGTTTATAATTTATGCATTTCCAAAACCTGCTGATATTATTAACGGATTCCAATCCTAAGTGATTTATTGTCATGAATATCGCTTATTCTGGTCTAAACTTGCCTAAAATTTTTAAAAGGAACGTTTTACAGATAAAAAATAGTAATTTGAGGTGTATGTAAAGTTTAAATTTCGGCCGGAAGTCCCTTCGGCTTGAAATCCCGTCGGCTTGTTGTCCTAGACCCATGGTTGCTAACTCTATGCCTTATCTGCACTACTGTGTTAATCGAATAAAGACTAAGTCTCGATAAAAAAGCAATAGAAATAAGCCTGGAGTAGTCTCGCCTTCTCTGAAACCATATCTGGTCAATTTTTTACCGCATTTTTTTTTTTAAAAATTCGACCCAACATTGAAATTATAAAATTAAATAAATTATAGGCGTCAGTGACCTAGAACAAGAAAGTTTGCTTATGAAGATGCTGAATGAATGTTTCAAGACCATTTATCCACAAGGGAACGGACCATCATACGAGCTGTTCAGCTCCTCACAGCAACGCTTTGTACCCTTGATTAAGAATTACATGCAATTTTTTATGTTATTTTTCCAGGCTCTGTAATGTTGCTTCACCCTCGAGCAGCGAGCGCAGACCATGGCTTTTCGATTGAGAGGCGGAGGCGAGATCACTTCACCACCGCTCCCTCGTGTTGGATCCCCAATTTGTGTGCGATTGTTTTCGAGAGTCTTGCCTCTGTGCATAAATAAAGATATGCTGCTACCAAACATAACTCACCCTGTTTTGCGCTGACTTCCTATCTTGTGACTTTTTTCTTTAGCCTGTAGAGAGTCCCTCACAAACTTCTTGTAGGCTATCCTCTTCTCTACGTTATTTGGAATTCCCTCGGCCCTATAAAGAAATGCAGTAAGAAACTACTTTTTCAATTGTAAAAGAAACTTAGTCTTAAGCATTGTAATAGTTTGGAATTCAGGCATGAGATATAAGGCATGTCTACACTTCCCAAGAACACAATTCGAGTGTGGCTTTGATTATCAACAAAAAAAATAAATAACAGAACAATTTTTAGCTGATACCACACACCAATCGACTATCGGCCGTCACGAGTGCCGAAGCCTTGAGGGGTAGGGGGCACAACCAAAGCCCGAAATTTTTCCCATGGAAGGTGGTCCGAACAACTGCTTTATATAATAAATGCACCATCATTGACTTCCTACATGCTTACTTTTTGGGCAGTGCTCCTATATATTGGCGCTGGTTTTTCACAGCCTGTTTCTCAGTGCAGTGGTTTGTCCTCAGACAGACGGGGTTGAAACAGTGCACAGCTGTCGTCCTGTTCTTCTTGTCTGAAGCAACACGTCACAAAAAATAAAAGAAGGGCTGGTCAATTGCAAATACAACAGAATGTTAACAACATCACAGTTACTGTTATCGAAGCACTCATTAGGAAAGTTTAAAAAATTCCTGAAACACATATATCAGCTGTTTCCAGGCCTACCCTGATCCAATTTGTTGAATATACATTTTTTGCGCACTTCGTTATGAGATCGATTAGTGCGAAAATTACTTCCTAATATTTTGAACAGCGGACAGACAATGACTTACATATTGCGTATATGCAGCGAGATTTCCGAAATGGTTTTTCATATTTCGCCAATGGAAAAATCTCGACAAAAATCAATTTTCCCTCATCAATAATGGGAATTTGTTCTCCACAATGAGTAAAACGTTATTTAGTACATTTAGAATTTCTTCTCAACAAAATGAAAGGGAAAAAATAACTTAGAAAAACAGGAAATTTTTTTCGACAAAAGAAAACCATTGTTTTTGGCCAATTTGAATTTGTTCTCGACAGCGGAAAAAAAATATTTTTATTTTTATCAACAATGACAACTTCCTCTCCGCAATAAGTTTTGGTTAAAAAATTTGGTAATGAAAATTTAATATAAGGTCAAACCATGCCTATAAATGAGCGATAAAACAGGTGATGGACAATTTTTCATGTAATTCCAAAATAGAAGGCGTTAACTCTTTTGTTTAGCCCTTCTGTTTTATTAGATGACTTCAAGTAGTCCGTGTGAAGAGTTATCTGAGATGTCCTCTGACTATACTGTAGTATTGCAAAATACTACACACACACAAAAGACCATTGTCTTAATTGTTTATTTAACGACCCAATTCTAAATTGGAGCGTGCCATTTAAATTAAAGCCTCTTTTCACTAAATCAGATACTGACTGATTTACTCTTATTAGGACTATAAAATCTTGTTTTGAAAATCCACTCCTTTTTAAATACTTGTCCAATTTTTCTCATTTTTTCATGCTCAATATTTTAAAAGGGCGGCGATTATTAATACGTCCCTTTTAACATAACTTGAAACAAACTGGATAAATATTTAGCAGTCTTGCCGGCTGCACTGAAATTCTCCTTGCTTTGATTAAGCAGAGGTGCACCTGCAATATGATGCATCAGAGAGAGTAATAAGACAAACTGAAGGCTGCGGTTTTTATCAAAGGGGACTAATAAGTTGAAGATATTTGATTTGAAAAAATCAAATTAAAACCAGTTGAAAATTTCCTTATTAAAAAGGGAGAACAAAGGAGCAGGTGAAACCTGAATAATTAAAGATTGAATCAGCCGCCGGTTTATGCTTATGAGCAAAAGGACTGGCCTGAAATCTTCAGTGTTTCATTTTGCTCAGTCAGCAGCAAGTCATTTCTCTTCAGTCAGATCTTTTAAAAATAAATAATTTTTCTTTTCTGCCCTATAATTTTTCTGAATAAATTCTCAGTTTAAGTTTGATTTGAAAAATTATAAATCGAGATACTCGAGATACGCACCCCCGAGGAAGTCTGGACTACAAGTACCCAAAGGACTACGGCAAGACGATTCAGACGACCCAACCAGAAGTGCTGACTTGGACAAACATCAAGGGCAACCATACATACTAATCAGCCACCGACCTTAGTAAGAAGATAAAATATTGATGAACAAAATAAGATTAGCTCAACCTCCCCTCATATGTATATTTCATTAAGCTGTTCGATTCATTTATATAATCTAATAACCCAGTGCTCTGTATCTAACCAACTAATTAATTCATACTTTTTCTAACTATTGTTTCTACTCTACTTTTTGTCAAGACAATTTGACGATCTAAGGTGAGACTTATAATTTAGGATAAAATTGCTAAGCATTCAACCAGCAATGAACGCATAGCAAAACTGGTGCGACCGCAGCAGAGAACTACTCCTTAAGAAATTCTTTTTCCAACAAACTAGAAACAGCTTTTAAAATTCAAAAAATATATTATTATTAGGATCTGTGAGTATTTGTCAGATTAGTTTTCAACCTCAAAAAGCCAGAGACAATGGGTATCTTTCGATAGAAACACAATTTCATTGTCTTCTACTTGACAGATATTCCTGGTAGGGTTCTTGCGAAATGCATCCCCTGCGCTAGCAGTCGCCCACGATATCCCTCCATCTCGAGGTCTATTAGACGGCTTTCTAACTGACATTAGCTCATGAACTTAACTATTATCTATTATTATAATAATATATAAAATTTCTGAAAGAATCGTTCTCTGCCTAAGTCCGCTAGTAAGATATACCCGTTTTGTCCAGTAGTCCACTAAACTTTTGCCGAAACTTCAGTTTAAAGTTATCATCACTAAAATTAACGAAATTCTGTATTAAACTCAAGTGCTCAAAAAACTTATTAAATATCTTCAATTATTTTTTCGAGGGGGTTAAGTGGTCATATGTGCGATCTAAGTGTACCCTAAATTGTATGATAAATTGAATTCTTCATCACATTATCTCAAACCATCCACGCTTGTTGCTATTTATTCTAATCCATCATCAATTCTCGAGGCTTATCCTCAACTTTTCTTAAACTCATTTTAATTCTATCCACCTTAACGTAACTTAAACCTAAATCATCTATCAGTAAAGCTACCAATTACTGAAACTAAGGAAGAAAATAACAAAAACCAAAAAGGAAGGAACGGATTTGAGTGTTTTTTGATAAATCATTAGTTTTTTTTGACACAGTTTAAATATACACCTAATTAACAATAAGATTACGCACTAAAACCAATCTTAAACGTTAACCACATAACACCAAACACCAAGTTTTAGTTTCAGCACAAAAATATCAGGTTTCACAACAAAAACTAAGATAAAATAGGTTTCATATGATAGCATAAGCACTAAAAAATTGTTTTTTACCAGCCAAAATTTTTGGTTTCAGTCTAGGTTTCAGTTATAGGTTCAAACGTTTCAGTTAAAATAAGTATAGTTTCCGGTCAAAATTTCAAGTTTCTGTAAACGGATTCGGGTAAAACAGCAAAAGTTGAACTAGTCAAACCCAAATTTGGATACCATAAGTCAAAAACCTGGTCTTAAATGGTACGTTTTTGTTAGTTTCACGTTTCAGAACACAAAAATTGAGTTTTTGGTCTCAAAATTGAGCTCCGAACGCCAAATTTTGACTTTCTAGAGAAAACTAACGGTGTTAAAACCCACCAAACCAATTTTAAATTTTGGTTCCTAAGGCTGAAACGTACGTTTCAGAATTGGTGTTTTTGGTTTCAGAACCAAAAATCTTGCTTCCCAAGTGAAATTTTTGTAAAATATTGAAAGATAATAGGAATCCTTAATGCAGTAACAAATTTTTGAACTCAAAAAATTTCTAGAAGGTGTTAGTTTGAGCCCTCAAACTTATAGTTTCAGAAAACTAAAAACGTCAATTTAGGCTAAAATTTTCATCTTTTTGGCAAATTTATTGCTGAAATAGAAATATATTAGAGAGACCAACCTAAATTTCCAATCTCAAAACTCTAAAACCAAGTGGTCAAACCATAGTTTCAGTTCTAGAAATCATAGTTTCAGCCCCAAAAACTTAGGTTTCCGCAAACAAATTTTTGATTTTGAAGTTACAAACCTGTTCAAAATTCCAATTTACACTAGACCAGCTATCAAAAACCAACTTTTTATTTTCATGCACCGAGTTTGAGAGAGTTTAAGAGTTTTAGGTTTGAGTTTTTAAAAACTAAGTTTAAGATATCAAAAGATTCGGTTTTCTCAAAATTTTTTGCAAGATAAAGCGAAAACCAGATATAATAAAGCGTATAGAGAATTTTAAGATTAAAGAAACTCAACTTCAGCTACCATAGTTTCAGGTTTCAGATTTTCGTTTCAGTCAAAAACTTTTCTAAAAATTTTTAACAAAAAATTAAGTTTTATACCAAAAATAACCATTAAAGGCATATAGTTATTTTGTTAACCATACCATAGCATCAATAAAACTTTACTTGAACAAAGTTTCAGGTTTCAGCGAATAAAACACTTGAAAAACTTAGAAAAAATTTTAAAAAAATTTTTTTTTCCAAAGAGATTTTTTTAATTTCCTTATCTTATTATTAATAACCTTTGTTAATATTCAATAATTCCTAAGAGGTTTTCATTACTTTAAGACATACTAATCAAATAGTACAACTTGGCTTAAGAAGAAAAAGAAAACAAACATCGTGAAATTAATGTCAACACATTTTAAAATTGACGTCAGTACAATAAATTTAAAGCTCAAATTAGGAAACAAAGTCTCTAACATCATATGGTATATCACTAACACTGAAAAAAATCATATTAGTATACTAGCAAAACACCCTAACGAAGATAAACACGAATTATACGTCTTCTTTCGACGATATACTCCAGAAATTGACACAATTCTTCAGCAAA